TGTATTCTCATCAGGTTAAACCGCCTGATGTAAGAACGAAGCCCCTCCTTCTCGCCCTGCTGAATCGTTCCTAAATCAAGGGTCGTCTTCTTCGCAGGTATGTTCATGGCAAAGTTGGAGGTGAATAAGTAAGCAAGCGTCCTGAAGTTATTCACACAACCAGTCGGCAGGTTGCCGAACCATTGTTGTGCGATTCCTTTGAGAGTCGCTGGAAAACACTTGCACCAAGTGGGATCATCCATCCCTTGAAGGTACATCAGGTTGGTGAATGCCATCAAATGGTCTTCTGGGTTAATAGTGCCGTCATAGGCGCCTACTAATACATTTTTCACTTTGGCCGGCTGAGCGGCTTCAGTAATTTCCTTGGAGAAGGCCGACGGCTGTTCCCCAAGTCTAAGCAACCGTAGCTGCCAGTCCATAGGTTGGACATTCTTTGCTGCATGCCCTCCAAACAGAGGTGGCTGCAAAAAATATTGTTGTTGCGGTACAAATGGTAAGTTTGGTACCGCCTGGTCACTATGAAAGCCGGACTGACGGGAGGTACCGCCTGACTGACTCTCATGATGCGACTGAGTATACCTCATCGAGGTGTTGCGTAGACTGTCTTGGAAGTCTGAAGTAGAGGCCGACTCTGACAATCGGTCATTCTTCTTCTGCTCTAGCAATAGCCGAGCATCTGTGTATGTTTTCTTCGACCCGTCCGCCTGAATATGACGAACAGGTTTCCTCTTTCCTGGAGTAGGAAAGCGGTTCTTTGTGAAATCAAGGACAGGCGGCTCCCACTTCCTAGAGTTAGGATGAGGGTTCGCCTCTCGCCCTTGAACAGGCTTCCACTTCCCTGAAGAGGAAGGTTTCTTAGCCGACTGCTCCTTGGCCAGAGCAGGCGGCTTCTTGTTGAGCAACTCTTGAATTTCTCCCTTGAAGCCCCTCATGAAGGTCATGAGTTCGTTTCTTGTAATGGGAGCAGACCCATCAGCCGGCTGTTGCTGAACAGGCGGTGCGCCGGCTGGATCACTGAGTCCAGTTTGAAGATCTTCCCGTTCTCTCCTTTCGGTATGACGGGTGCGTCAGGCCCTTAGGGTCCCGTCTGAAGCTGTATGATCTTCAACTTCAAATTCTTCCTCAGTATCATGGTCCGACTGAACTTGAGGGTCGTCCAGGGGACGCCTCTCTTCAGGAGTCGGTACAGACGTGGATGTCATCTCAGAAGTACTCTCCCCACAGACGGCGCCAAAATGTTTTGGGGTTTTCTGATGTCCTGCGGGAGAGTTACAATTCTGAGGCTGGAACCGGACGCCTGTACCTGCAAAACAAACGGATGCTCCGGACGATTGGAGATCCGCCTCCAACGGTCAAGTTAGTACTTGATTAAGGAGTAATTAATGCGGAAATAAAAGTAATTGGGTCTCTCTAGGTGAGAGTGTTAAATGTGCGTAATCCCCCTTAATGAGGATTAATGGGCATATTTATATGCCTTGGGATGCGTGCCAGTACTAGGTTTAGGTTAAACCTAAGGCTGACTGGGCCTCCCACAATGATTGGGCCTTGTTGGCCGGTTTTCCCATTTGGCATGGGTGGACACGTGTCACATTGCAATTGGTCCAAGGAGGACGAATCTCTTGATGACACGTGGCAGGCTCCTATTGGCCTACATGAAGGACACGTGGCGAAACCTGGCTGGCCCACGTGTCGGATGTTGATTGGTGGATAAAAATCCCCTAACCAATATGAATAGCAGTGCGGAATAATTAACTATAACTAATCGTTCCATAATCAATCCGAACCCCAAATTAAATTGACGGTTAAGACTAGATTGTGAAATTGATATTTGATAATTTTGAAAAAACATCTTACCTCAGAAGTCGCTTCAATGGAGAAGAGAAAGCTCCGCTTCAACAAAAAAATCTATACTTATATTTAATAACAGAAATTACAAACAATACGTTGCCAAGTGTCCCACTCTTATTGGTACACTTTTTTTTTTTTTCTTTCCGTTAATTATTTATTCCTTCGTTTCTTGTATGTTGTTCACTGAAAAGACACTTGTATTTTGTGATTATCCTCTTTACAAATATGAAGTTAGTTTCTTTCCAAAATACAATTAACGGTTCACTTGTGTTTCTAGGTTGGTTGTATCAATTTCTTATATAATAGTTGATAGTTGAGTCAAAAAATATTAAGTATCACTTCATATATCTTTTTGCGTGGAAGTATGTATAAAAAATTGTAAACATGAAAAAACATCATTATTTTTACTACTAATCTTTTATTATTTATTACTATATTTAATTTTGTAAATCATAGACCTAGTTTGACTTGATTCCAATAAAAGAGCAATCTCAATGTACAATTAACAACCTGTTATAATAAACATTTTAGCAAAAAAAATAACCTGTACATAGGATAAATACTAGTTTAATTAATAACATGAAAAGCAACGTTCTTCGATAAAATGCTCAATAATACGTACATAGTATATACTTATACTCGACACTTGTAAGTAATATTGTTGGCGTTACTTTCGTATTGCATCTGTTTTAGAAATAACTTGAGTTTTATACTATATACTCGTATATATTTAGGAAAAAATTGCAAATAATAATATAACCTTTGTCCTGTTTTTTTTTCTTTTTTAAAAATAATACTATGTACAACCTTTGTATTATATATCAATATTACAACCTTTAGAGGGTGTTGAGTTTAAACAGCCAAAAAAACTTGTAACCAATTGAATAGGTTACCACGACAAGCGTCGTCATGAAATTGGTTTAAAGTTTTTTTTAAAAATAGATTTTTAAATTTTAATTAATTAAAAAAAAAAAAAATCGACCCACCCATGCATCACCCTGCCTGCCACCATCACCTCTCCCCCTCCCTTGTTTTCTTCACACTACAACAAAACACACTCCCCTGCTCTTGCCCTACCATCACCGCCCAACCAACAACAGCAGCACCGAACCACCCCCGCATCTCCCTCACTCACAATCCTGCTCCCTCACTGCCACCACAGCAGCCACAATCAGCACCACCTCACGCCACCCAGCAAACAGTCGCAGCAGCTCACTTCGCTGCTCTCACACGCATCACCAGACAGCAATTAAAGCCACTGATGCACCGTCACTTCACCGCCACCACTGCACCCATTTCCGGGTTCGGGTTTTCTAAGTTAAACCGATTTTTTGGTGGTGTTAGGTGGGGGAATATGGTTTATGGGGGCCGGAAAACATGGTAAGGGGTGGTTTCGGGGCTGCGGTGGTCGGGAAGGGGTGGAATCAGAACTGATGTTCGTGAAGGTGGAGGTTGGTTGCGGTTTTCGCGGGTTAGGGTTCGTTTTGATGGGTGGGGCGACGGTTAAGGGGAGGTCGGAGTAATAGGGGTGGGTCGGCCGGCAATGGGTGAGCTGGACGCCGGCTGGAAGATTTCTGGGCTGTGGGAGAGGGGAGCTGCGTGAAGGAGAGGAGGAGAGGGAATGGTGGGGAAGGTGGTGGGTTTTTTTTTAATATAATAATAATAATAATAATAATAATAATAAAGTAATTATTATTATTTTATATATTTTAAAAATTAAAATATTAAATAAATTTTAAAAACTCAAATTAAATTAACAAAATCAATAAAACAACGACACTGTCATGGTAACCTGTAAAAACAGTTTACTAATCGGTTTTTGCCTGTTCAAAATGGACATCCCCCCACCCTAAAAGTTGTAATATTAATGTATAATCCAAAGGTTGTATTATTAAAAAAGAACCGATCAAAGGTTGTATTATTATTTGCAATTTTTCCTATATTTAATTTAAAATTTCTTTTTCCTCTCCTACCCATCAGATAAGTGATATTTTTTTTTTTTTGAAATACAAATAAGTGAAATTACTAATTGTAGTTATATATGGTCATGGAGTATAGATTTTCTTAGAAAAAATCTTAGGAGAAATAGTAAATTTTTAAGACCAACCCATTTCCTTAAGACTTGTGCCATGTCCTGCCTATTGGATTTGGTTTAATGTATCTTTCTTCTTCTTCATATTTTTTTTAATAGCTTACTAGCTAACTTGCGCTAGCTCTTCCTATCCACAATTTTCAACTGCCTCGCTCTCTATTTTCTCATACTTCTTCATCTTGCGATCAACAATGTTGCTACTCATTCATTCACAGTTGACGAGGTGAAGAAAAAGATTGAAAAAACACTACTAATACTACAAAAATAACTTGCGAAGCGTTCGTAGAAAGAAAATCAATGATCATTGCATACTAATTTTTATAATATTCTTACAAAGCTATTGTTAAGTGCAAGTGTGAGTATAGTTTATCCCACATTGAAAGCTAAAGCAAAATTTTTTTAGTTTAATCATAATCCAATCGGGCTACTCTTCTTATCGCCAATTGGTTTTAAGATCAAACCTCACTTTGGGATCTAATAGTGGGCTTTTGGGCTTCTCTCCCTCGTCTCTCTTCCATCTGTTATAATAGTTACTTAATGGTCTTATGGTAATGTTAATCTTGAAGCTAATTAGTGTAATGGTAGTCAAATTCATTCTTACTAGGTTAGATCTCGTGTCATGCACGGTAATTTTCACCCCATTTATTATTAGTTTAGTATTATATATTTAATTATAAAAATTTAAATGTTATTGCAAAATAAGATGAAAGTTTTGTAATGACAAAATAAAAAGAAAATTATATCATACTAAATAAATACATTAAAACTTAGGGGAATATTATGCACAACTAATAAAATAATTAGGCTAAATTAGAAAATAACACCCATTAAAACCCCCGATTTTGATTATAACACCAAAACATTTTGAAATTTTATTATAACACCACTTAAAATCCCAAAAATTTGGTTTCACCACCCACTAACGGATTTTTGGATGAAAACCGTTAGTGGGGCCTACCATGTACACATGTCAGTTGTTTATTGGTTTAAATTTTTTTTTTTAAAAAAAAAAAAGAAAAACCCCTAAACCCTAACTAAAGCTTCTCAAATAACATAATACTAAAAGTAACAATCTTGCAAAGTATGATAATATGTTGTAGTGTTGGACAATGGTCCTTTATTTATTGTAGCACTAGATCTAAATACACGCAGTGCATACTAAAATCTCTAGAAAGTAAAGCATATACGGCAATCATTTTAAGAAAATTAAAATAAAGACATCTTCAGCATTTCAGATAAACACCAATCCGCTCAAATTTGATTCGAAGACATCCACACTTCAAATTCTTCAAGGCCCAAACTTTCCCACTAGGAATCCCTCATCACAGCCAATAACAATCCTAACATATCGAACCCAAAATTATGATTAGTAATTTGATATATATATATGAGTTATAGAAATTAAAGGATAAGCTTGATAGCCTTACTTGTTGGAAATTTTGTCATACTTAAGCACCCACACTCGTCCAAGACCCTGATCTAGGGTCTTCTCCAGCCTAAAATTAAAGAAATTTGATTATATCATCAAAGTAATATACAAAAATGAAAATGTATGAAAATGAAAATATACGTTGCTTTAAGAAAGAAAAACCACAACAAAATGAAATAAATAAATAAATAAATAAATGTGTGAAAGGAGTAAGAATCTTACTTGTAAGTGATTGCATTCCAAATGTGAATTGTTTTGTCCTCAGATCCAGTAAAAATGAGCGGAAGGTTAGGATGAACAAGAGCCATAGACACATTGTTTGTGTGTCCTTTTAACACTTCAACACAGTTCATATTTTCATAATTCCATACCTAATTTTACATGCTATCATAAATTAGATTTTCTTTGAATTGAAATAATCATAATATACGAAAACTATAGTATATATCAATCTATCATAATGTTAATGTAATAAGCATAGAGCATCAACTAACCTTTGTGGTAAAATCATCTGAACCAGTGAGTATATAGAGTTTATTATCACTTGTTAAGTAATAAGCAACGCAATTAACTCCAGTGTTATGGGCAGCTACTGAAGTAATTGGGTTCGGGTTGTCAAGATTCCATATCTATATTAAGAAAAGAGATAATAGCAAAATTGATATAATTAATACACAAAAATATATAGACTCAAATAATATGACTCTATTCTAATTCTGTACATCAATGTTTCACGAATCTAATCATGATAATCATTACAAATGTCTTACGGTTTATTATTAATAATAATTTTCTTTCAAACTTTAATTAGTCAGGCTAATTTGTAGAGATTATAGAAGTGTCATATATTTATATATGATCATAACTCCTATGTAGTGCGTACCTTAATGGAGCCATCAAGAGATACGCTAACAAAGTTGTTATGGTCAATCGGGTTGATAGCCACCTGCATCACATAATGTGAGTGTCCTAGGAAGGTTCGAGTACAAACCCAGTCCTCCCAATCCCAAAGCTTGATTTGTTTGTCATCGGACGCGGTTAAAACATATGGAAGAGTGGGATGAACAACAATGTGCCTCACGTAATCGTTATGTGCCACAAACTCCTTCACCTTCTCTTCAGTTTTGTAGTCATACACACGGATCATTTTGTCATCGCTCCCTGTTATGATCCAATCCTTTTGTGCTACGAATTTTGCTGATCTCACTGTAAAAATTAACACATTGCTACTTAATCTCACCAACATATTGCTGATCTCACTGTAAATATTAACACATTGCTACTTCATTAACAGGTCATAATCGCTACCACATATAAACCAACTATTCGAGTAGTATAGTGTCAATGCAAGAGTCAAGATATCAAGCACTACAAGTAGTTTTTCCATGTATAAAGACCAAAGTTTCCTTTGATAAATTGTTGTTTTACGTCTTTCTAATAATGAAACCAGTCAATAAGGGTGCGTAGTCAACTCTTTACATCTTGTATTTTACTTTTTCATCCAATCTTATCTATGAACTACTCGTAATACCTGCACATTTTTACTTTTTTCTAACGTAATGCATACTAGTAAAAAAATTCATTTGTCTTTTACATGCTTTTTTATAGACACTAAATATAGTTTGTTTTGTTGATTAAATGAAAATATGGTGAACTATACAGGGTACACAAGTTTATATGAATGGTTGAAGATCGTTCATAAAATTACCATGGCTGCACTGGATGAAGGTCCAATGACTTAACTCTAGCAGATTTTTGAGTGAAATCAGCCTGAAAATAGCAAAATTGCATCAAGGCTTATAAAGATTATGCTAAAAAATAAAGATTATGACAATTTTAGATTGATTTTTGTGGCAAAGGTGTATCACCTGGAATTCATTGGTGTTGATGAGAGACTGCAGAAAACAAAGAAAAATACATATGTAATCAGATTAAAGGCACAAATGTAAACCAATATAAGAAATTTCATTCAATTCTGACTCGGAAGAAACGTAGAGTTACATAAGAATTTGATTGTTTCAAGCACTCAATAATTTAAAATATCACACAACTTTACAATTAATATAATTATTACTAATATTTGTGCTATCTAATATCAATTTTACTCTCTATTACTTTATATATTACTAGACACATAGTAAAATTTTCTTAGAACATAATATAATAATAAAATTGACAAAAACTTGACCTTCTAAAGAGTTTTAATGAGACTTCTATATTTTCCATCCAAAACTGAAAAAAAAGTCTTGTTGGATAGGAATAAGACTGTATAATAGGTTACCATGTCATTTTATTTCTTCTTAAATTAAATCACAAAATAAACTCACAAAAAAAAAAAAAAAAAAAAAAAAAAAAACACACACACACACACAAAAAGAATTAAGATGCATTATAAATTACCATTTATATTTCTTGAATGTAGAAATAACTTGAAAATTCTTCTTTTGAGTTTACATTTTGTAGGAGAGACAAGAAATAATAGACAGAATGTATTGCATGAAGTTGCAACAAAGTAAGACGGCTATTTATTCTATCACAAGAACAAGGAGTTCAAAAAAATAAGGTAACTTATTATGTCATCATCGAATATATTTTAAACCGTTGGATTAGTTATTTGTAAAAATGAAGGGTGGATATTCAAGTGTGTGATGCATTCTTGTTGAGTAATTAATGTGCCACTGCCAATAAAAGAAAAGTCTTTTTAGGCTCCTTGGATACATCTTCGAATGTTCCACACCTATTAATCCAGCTATATGATTACATTTAGTAGATTTCTTTAGATAAACACTCATACTACACAAAATATTTTGATGTTTATACCCTTCGCATATGAGATGCATTTTGACCATCTTTTTTGGTTAATACATACTCTTTACAAATCCAAAATAAAAAAAAAATAAAAAAAAATACTAACTCCAATTTTTTATTAAAAATAATACTATTTCAATTTCATAATAAGTAACATAGTTAAAATTAATACGTTAAATTTAAAACTCTACATATCTATGAAATTACATAGTACACTAGGGTGCACCATGCTCATGGTACACCCTGCTGGAAATTACAGTATTTTTTTACTTTTAATAAAATAAAAATAAAAAATCAAAATATTTCTCTACATAATTCAAGGGATTTGTTAGTTATTTTCCACACTAATAGTTTTCAGAATTAAATTTTATATTTTTGGTGAGATATAATTACAATTTTGAAATACGGAGAGAATTATAGAGAGGAATTACAATAGCTTGGTAGCGTAGTTTGAATTTCTACATGATTCCAATTGTAGATCTGTTGATAATACATATGACAATGAAGATTTTGATAATGTTGATGGTGAATTTGAGTAGTTTGTAATCAAATGACGAGAAGGTTCTTTTTACTTTTATTTTTTTCTTATTTAAATTTTATCATTATAGTTATGATGTTGATGATAATGATAATGCACTTTTAAATTATTTAATTTCATAAGTTGTGGGTTTTTATAATCAAAAGAGATTATATTTTTTGTTATTAAATTTGATAATTTATGGATATTTTAATAAAAGGAGTTTTTTTTTTTAAAAAAAAACTATTTTTGTATTACTTTTTGAAGTTGAAGATGATGTTCTTCTAATTATGATGAATGTTCTTTTTATCATTTATTTGATCTGTATTCATTTTGTTAATTATTGTGGAATATGCTCTTTAAATCTGATTAATATGTTGTTTGAATCTAAATTATATGTTCTTTACAATGCAAACTATGTTCTTTAAGGTATAATGTTCTTTTTATTTGAATAATATGTTCTTCTATGTTCATGTTCTTTGTTTTAACTCTTATGTTCTTTTGGGTTTTAATTTCTAAGATGTTTTACTCCTTATATATATGTTCTGTTGTTACATCACTTATGTTATTTATTTTATCCCTAATGTTCTTTGATTTTGGGGTTCATATGTTCTTTGAGGTATTGAGTGATGCACATTTTTTTGGTATAGCATATGTCATTTTAAAATTAGTTTGTAAAGTCATTTTTAATTATTAGTATATTCATCTTAAATATTATTTATTGATCCTATGTTTTTCTTTATTAATTAACATTTAATAATTGTGTATTTTTTTTTAATTCAGGATCATGAAGATTGACGACGATATTCTTTTTGGACATCGTCTATTGATGATTGATTTTTAGATTCAAAGAACATCCATAATATTAATAAAGAACATGAAGAAACTATAATAACATTGTTTGAATTATCTCATTTAAATTTAACTAATATGGCGTAAGGACTAAATTTAAAGAACATTTTCATTATAAGCAATGAACATTTTATGACAATGGAAGTACATTACAATTACAATAAAAAAGACATGGACATTTAAAATATTTCATTAAAAGATCTAATAAAGATTATTAATATGATATAAAGGTAGACATATGGAATAAAACATAGTATTAATAATTTATTGTATGTTACAAACAAATATAAAGTATATCATGTATTCTAATAAAGAACATTATAAAATATGTAAAGAACACAATAATTACACAAAAATATAAGTATATCATGTATTCATGGTTACTCAGATGGTTACACATGTTCTTTCAAACACAAATATTTTTAAAATTTGGTAAAAAAATATGAATGATGCTTTTAGAAAAAAAACTTAAAGAGAGGGAATGAAATATGCTGTAGTATTTTTTTGGATAATAAAATTTTGGAAATCAAATTTGAATTTTGAAATTTGAAATTATCAAAAAATATATCTTGAATTATTTGGGAAAAAATAATTTAGAGAAAGAAAATTATATTTAGAAACTGTATTTTTGTAAAATGATAAGACAATAAAAGCGGGATAAATATCATTTAATAACTAATTTTCCTAGTTTAAAGGAAATTACTAATACATTCTGGTGTTCTTTCAGTTATAAGGCAATGTTCTTTGTCTTATAAACTAATGTTCTTTCCGCCTTTTTTACTTGTTTTGAGGCTTGCGTTTCATGTTCTTTTAGTTGCACTTTAAAACAGGTGTACCATGCGCATGGTACACCTGGGTGTAGGAACCACGCATTGCATACCTAGGACGAAGTATATTTAAATACAATTCATATAGACTATATGTCCTCCATTTTGACCTTTTTTTTTTTTTAGAGTAGATTTTTACAGTTTCCCTCACCTGAACACTCCATATTCCCCATTCATCTCCAACTTTTAAATCCCTTGGATATTCTTCACCAATTGTATTCATTTTCTATCCAATTTCACATATGAGTAATTTTTTTCTTCCCCCGCTCCTATTTAACTTTTATTAAATTGATTAATAGATTTTCGCAACAATTACAATATTTTTCTTAAAACACTTCTTGAGATTTAAACTTTTCAAGGGCCAAAAGGCTCTAATGAAAAACAAGGAGAAAATATTGTTTAATAGGAGTATATTTTTGGTTTTTAGTCTTTACCCTCTAGACATTTGCAAGCTTCAAACTATGCACATTGGGCCTATTTATAGCCTTGTCCAACAGCCCACCAAGTGTAAATGTACATATTACTCCGACCCATACATCATAAACATTCATTATTTTTAGCAAGGAGGAAACAAACAGCTTGATTAATATGCAAATTCGCTAACAAATTCTAGGGGTGTCCATAATTCAGATTAAAACCGAAATCTAATTTAATCCAAATCGAATTATAATTCGGATTGGATTCGAACTTTAAATCGGATCGGATCGGATTGAGATTTTTTAAAAATTCGGATTTTCGGATTGACCCTAATTGAATCCAAATAAAACCGAAAACCATATTGTAAAATTAAGCTTATATGAATATGGATTTCTTCGTTTTATGATTGGGCTTTTTAAGTTCAATCCAAATACTTACTACTAAGAGACGGACACCCCTAACAAACTCATTGTATGATCTATTAAAGTAATAAGGGAAGTTTGGAAAATTCTTGGTGTTAAATATGGGTCTAGGCTGCACTCGCAAATCAAGAAAGAGAGTCCACTTTTCAAGTCCAAAGGAAGTTTCATCCCATAACCATATGGCAATAAGAAGAGTAACCCCTTAACCTTATAAAGTGTTTGATTCTCTCTTCTTTTCTCAATGTGGGACGCTTACATGTGTTATTTGGTACTCCTTGTCTCTCGGTTCGTTGTTGAGAGACCCAACTACGTTAAGAGTGAAAAAAGTGCTATGAACCTCCAATCTACCCGGCCAAAGAGCTTTTATATTAGTGTACTACTGTTTTTCAAAGCAATGACGGTAGTTGACACCATTGCCAACATATAACCATGATCAATTCTAGGATATTTCTCCATCCCCTTTGCGACATAAAAGTATCCGCTAGAGAAGTTTAGGTCACTCCCCGCTTCCTTCTTCGGAACAGGCACTTGGAAGTGATGGAGAAAATTAAACGCCTACAAGTGTTCGTAGTTGAAAGGATTTATCCTCTTAACATTAAGATTAAGATAACAATGAAATTCACCAACCAATTAAACCAAACCTTATTTTTCTTGCGTATTACTTGCTACTCTATAAATAATAGTTCTATATCTAACCTATGGACTACGTAATATTGTACTCCGTATTAATTAGCGGTCACCACATATGAAACATAATACGAGTACGAAATAATAAAACCCATGTTTATCCTTTCCACATACTAGGGGTATTAATGTATTATATTACTTCAGCAATTACTCTATTAAACAAGCAACTTGCCAACAAACAAATTGACAATTTGTTTCATGTGTTTAAGCAATTCTCCAGATTCAGAGTATACTCAAAGGACATTAACATCCATACATTCAGATAAGACTAATATTCTAGCTAATTTTTTTTTTTTTTTTTTTATGATTAATTTTTGGTGGAGGAATCTAACTGTACAATACTACTTCTACTAATATTTTAAGATTCAACAACAAATATTTGAGGATAAAAAAAAAAAAATCTAAAATAATATACTAGTCCAAATTTCTTTAACATGATATTGGACCACCTTAAACAAGATTCTGGCTAGAAAATTTTCTTCATAACCAAATATCTCAATTTTTTTTCTTAGAATAAGAAACTAATGAACTTGAGCCAAGGAGGGCAAGGAGAAGCAAGTTTAGTAGCTTGATCAGCCTGTTTTGCACAAGACGACGCCGTTTCCGCCACTTCTTTTCTCTTTTTGCATAGGAAGAAGTTTCTTGACCCTAACTCTGCAATCTTCTCTTCCCTATCCAAACCTGAAATCCACCAAATTTAAAGTTTCATCAATTAACCTTCCAATTATTGATTAATGCTCTCTCCAAAGATACGGTATAACTTGAACTAGTAATACGACAAGTAAGATAACACTATACGATCATATCAATTGTCACGTTAACAGTGTAACTTAAACGAGTACTAATAAATAAATCCGGCCTGCGGGCAGACTAATAATAATAATAAATTAATAATAATAATAAAATTAGTTCAATAATTTGAAATATTCTGACAGAGAAAATCGCATCAACAGAGCAATTAGACCAACAAATCAGGAAAAATATAACGGAATCTTAAAAGATATAAAAAATAATTAAAAAAAAAAGATAGAGAAAATTACTTTCAAGGCTAAACTGAGAATAATGGAGGTCAAAATCATCAGCAATGGCGGAAGAAAGAACAGGACGACGACCTTCTTTAACATACTGTTTAAGAGCAGCAGAAATCAAATCTTTAACAGTAAATTCCGGACTAATAATAACCTGAACAGTACCAACACTTCCTTGAATCGTCACATTTAACAACACTTTCGTCAATTTCTTGGGCTTAACCTCTTCATTCGCCGGAGATTCGCCGGGAAATAGCATCGCCGATTTCAAATCCGGCACCGTTTTGGGTCGCCGGAGATTCTCCGCCGCCGGTGAACCTCCGGTTGTTCTACCGTTGAAGGACATCGATCTCTCCGATACTCGAGCAGAAAACAATATGCCGTTCCTGCTCGAATTAGGGGACGGCATATTGAGAAGCAAGAATAATAATTTTTTCGGTATGGAGCGGGTTTTGAACACCCTAGTGATGGTTATGGGTTTATATTTGATTAGCGTAGACGGCGATAACGGTGGTAGCGGTGGCGGGGAAAGCCAAAAGCGGAGGTGAAAGAAGAGCGGAGGCTCTTAGATGAGTAATTAGCAGCATAAACTATCATAAGTCATTTAATTTGTTACACAATTACGAGTAGTAATCAAAAATATTAATGTGTTTTATTTTTGAAAGTGAGAATATTATTTGGAAGTGATGACGGAAGGGGAATGAGGGAGGGGGTTATTTATAGTGAGGGAGGAGAGAGAAAGTAAGGAAGGTAATGATGATCCAATCATGATAATTTTAAGGATATGGTTGATTGCTGTTTATTTATTTGATTAATTTAATTGTTGGAAAATGGGGATGTTGGGAATTATAAATATTTAATTAATTAGGGGTTATAAAATGAAATTATTATGGTTCCTTCCAATTAAAAAATGAAATTATTAAGGGTGGGTCCCTAGTGAGTGAACATGCCGTGCTAAGCTCCGGCTCTGCGCACCTGCTCACACCTTTATAAATTGGTAGTTTGATAATTTGTGGCTCATTTTAATGCTGTTTTTAAGTTTAAAGATGCGGTGACTACCTCTGTTTTTTTTACTGCTATTTTCTCTAATACTTTGTAATATGTTACTTCTTACGTTCCCTTATATTTTTTATGTTTGGAATTATGCACGGTTATTAAGAAATTGTGTAAAATAGAGATATATTGCAATATTTCAATAATTGAAACTAGGGGTGTACAAAAATTGGCCCGGACCTGAAACCGGACCTGAAATGACCTGAACCGGACCGGACCTGACCCGGACCTGTTGATTCAGGTCCGGTCCCGGTTCTTAAAAATCCAGGTTCCCGGTCCCGGTCCGGACCCGGTCCAAACCCGGGGTTTTCAGGTCCGGACCTGAAACCCGGGAAAATCGTAATTAAAAAAAAAAAAAAAAAAAAAAAAAAAAGAAAACCAAACTCTGAAAAATTGAAACTGACGTTAAAACTTCTCTTTCATATTTTTAAGTTCTAACCCTAACTCCCTTAGCCCAAACTGATTCTCTCAGCCTCCCTCAATCTCAACTTCTCAACGCGGCTGTCTCAACTCGCTCCGGCCACCGCCCACTGCCGACACCTCCCTCATTCTCTCAGGCGATGCACACCGATAATATCTGGTAAGTATTTGCTTATAATTTTGGTATTTTTAATTCGAAATAATAAATTTAAGTGTGAGAATTTATATGTTTATTCTTGTTTCAAATTTTCAATTGCTTTTAATGATTGTTTATTTGTTTGATGTTTGCATGTTGAATTTCTTATTTTTAGTTCATCTCTTTCGAATTTCTGTTTTTTTTTTTGGTTTTTTTTGAGTTTAGGGTTCATAAGAATTAAGAAGTTTAGGGTTTAGGGTTCAAGTGCGAAATTTAGTTCAAAATTTTGTGTTTATTATGATTATTAAGATTAATTTAGTGCGAAAATTTGTGTTTATTCCTAAAGTATAAGTTATTCAAGGTAATATATGTCTCCACTTGAATTTGTCTTGATGATGAGAAATACAAAAAAAATCCATCATTATCTCAATCAATATTTCTGTATAATACAGAAAACTGCTAAGTATGTACTCTATTGTATATTTGTATGCATTATTAGTCTCTGTGTTTGAATGTTATATGTGGCAATTCAATTTCACATTGTATTATGAATAGTTGAATATATACCATAATACCAACCTGCAAATTGATCCAACATAATGCGGCACAACTTAGTAACTTACTACTTCGTAATAAATTTTGATCGTTGAGAAATTTTTTGGATGAGTAGTGAACTAGTGATTCATTATATTAATCATTGTTTGGTTTTCTAATGAATAATGAATGGACTTGCACTTATTAAACTAACTCATACTCCGTATCATATACGCTATTTACCTGGTATTGATATTTCTAATGTGTATATATGGACGCTTTTTAAGCTAACTTATACTTTAAAATTTGTGTTTATTCCTGCTAGGCTGCTAAAAGTATGGACTCAGATTATTAAGATTAAATAAGTTGGCTAACCTGTGTGTAGTTCAGGGGTTCTTATTTTTGTTTTTATTCTTGCAGGGAGTGAAGGAAGTCAAGGAACCACGGATTCTTATTCTTGCAATGTAAGTTGCTCTTAAATTTTTTTATAAAATGGTATGTGTATATAATTGTTACTTTAAAATTACTTATATTGTATATAATTATATTGTAGATGGAGAGCTCTCAATCCAAACGGTCTGCTTCTTTTTCTGAACAAACGTCACAGCCACTTTCTGAAAAGGATATGGAAGAATTGCAATCTACTTTGCCTCCTGATAAGAAGCTAAAAGCGGGGCGGGAATATATATGGAACAGAAAAAGTAAGAGGAAAGCTGAGTATTGAAAATATTACTTAGAGTACGTCGAGAATGGAAAACTACGAGCTGAATGTAAGTTCTGTCCTAAAACTTTTGCTGCTGATGGTAATCTTAATGGTTCAAAAAATGTTAAAAACCATGCAGAATCATGTCTCGGTAATCCTATTAATATAGAAAAAGAAAAGGGCAAAGAAAAGCAAACTAAATTGTATTTTGATCAAGAACATGAGAGTAGTGAATTAAAGTGTGGGAGTAGGATTATTAACTTGAATGATGTTAGAGAGGCATTGATTCACATGATTATTGTTGATGAGTTACCATTTAAGCATGTGGAAAAACCCGGTTTTAGGCACTTTGTGCAAGTTGCATGTCCACAATTTCACATTCCATCTCGTGTTACCATTGCTCGTGATTGTTTAAAGTTGTATTATAGTGAAAAAGAGAAATTGAGAGAAATGTTTAAGACATGTCAAAGAATTTATGTGACCACTGATACTTGGACTTCAATACAAAGAATTAATTATATGTGTCTTACAGCTCATTTCATTGATAATGACTGAAAATTGAATAAAAAGATCATAAATTTTTGTCCAATTTCTAGTCATAAAGGAGAGGCTATTGGAAAAGCAGTTGAGGCATGTTTAGAGTATTGGGGTATTGATGATAAACTTTTTACTGTCACTGTTGATAATGCTTCTTCAAATGATGTTGCTTGTGCACACTTGAGTAGAATGGTTAGAAGAACAGGATGTATAAATGATGGAAAAAATCTTCATGTTAGATGCATTGCTTATATAATTAATTTAATTGTGTGGGATGGTATTAGAGAACATGGTGTGTGCATTGATAGAGTTAGAAATGCTGTGAAATATGTTAAGAATTCCCCTGCAAGAATACTTAGATTCAAAGATCTTGTGCAAAAAGCAAACATAGATTCAAAATCTTCTTTATCCTTTGATGTCCCCACTCGTTGGAACTCCACATACATAATGTTGGAAACGGCTTTGAAGTTTCGACGTGTTTTTAGTGGGTTATCTCTTCCTGATAGAGAGGATTTGAATGACAATGAAAGGCCTCCCGAACCCGAAGATTGGGAAAAAGTGGAGAGGTTGGTTTTGTTTCTAGAGGGGTTTTATCTGTTAACTAAACGAATTTCTGGTTCTCATTATGTGACAGCTAATAAAGGTTTAGGAGAAATTGCTTCTATGTATGATATGTTGAATAATTGGGAACAAAGTGAGGACTTGAATTTTCAAGCTATGGCTATTGCAATGAAAAAAAAGTTTGATAAGTATTGGGGGGATGTGGATAAGATGAATAAGTTCATTTATGTTGCTCTTCTTCTCGACCCTCACTCTAAGATGGTCATTGTTGAATTGACACTAACGGATATGCATGGACCGGAAAAGGGTACAAAACTTGCTAATGATGTGAAGGAGTTCGCTTACTCTTTATTTGAGGAATATAGAAAAATGTATGCTACTTCTAATATTCCAGATTGTGGAGATAATATGTCAATGGATATTGATAATAGTAAAGGAGTGGGTTCCGATTATGTGAGGAAACTAAAAGAAAGAGCAAAACGATTGAAGGGGACAAGTGGGTATGCGATAAGTGAGTTGGATAGGTACTTAAATGATCAATTAGGGCCGGAGGAGGAAGAACAAGATGCATTGACATGGTGGGGTAAGAATGGTCAGCGTTATGTGATTCTTAATCGCATGGCACGTGACATACTAGCCATCCCATTGTCGACCGTTGCATCGGAATCTGCTTTTAGTACGGGAGGTCGTACTCTAGATCCATTTCGGAGTTCTTTAACTCCTAAGGTAATGCATCGTTATCTTTTTATTTTATAAAATCAAGTTTGTTTATATCTTAATATGACTTTGTTTATACATATTTGTGTAATATTTTTGTATTGAAGATGGTTCAAGCGTTACTTTGCACACAAGATTGGCTTAGAGCTAAGGAAGTGCCAATTGTTGATGTGGAAGAAAATTTGAAAGAGTTAGAGGAAATAGAGAAAGGTAGTAATAATTTTATGTATTTGAAATTTTGTTACACCAAATTTATTATTTCATTGTTATCAATCATTAATATATTCTATATTGTATTTTATTTAGAGGTGCAACGTGGTGAATCTAACGATGTAGACGATGAAGTTGTTTTCAAGGACTCATTAGTGTGAATCACGCGATCAAAGGGAAAACAACTCGTTGGAGAATTTATGTATTTCTAGTACTTGAGAGTTGAGACTTAAGAGAATTTATGTAATTTTATGAGTTTTCGTGGACTTATTTGTATTTTCGGTGGACTCATTTGTATTTTTGGTGTTTGAGAATCGGGACTTTATAGACTTTATGTAGTTTTGTAATTGATAATTTTGGTTTGTATGTAATTATTAAATTATGCAACAGGTCTAAAAATCACAAAACAGGTCCATATGCAGGTCCAACAGGTTTTGTATTAAAAAAAAAAACGAAAAAGACACAAAACAGGTCCATTCAGGTCCAAACCCGGACCGGACCTGATTTTTCAGGTCTGGCCCGGAACCGGACCTGTTAATTCAGGTCCGGTCCCCGGTCCTCATAATTACCCAATTCAGGTCCCCGGTCCAAACAGGTCCGGTCCAGGTCCGGTCCGGTTTTGGACCGGTGTACACCCCTAATTGAAACAATTCTATTGAAAAAAAAAATATTGTACATGTGTGGTGAAGAAAGCAGAGGAGAGAGGAGAGAGAAAGTAATAATGAGTATTGGAAAACCATTAAAATAGTACAAAAAGTACAATAACACATAAAAATGTAAGGACTTTTGAGTTTTGAATATTAAAATTGTAAAATAAGGGTAATTTGTCCAAAATTTATAACTGAAAAAGGAAAGTTACTAAATGTAAAGAATAAAAAGGAACACCTAAAATGAAAACGTAAAAAAACAAATAGGAACGGAGGGAGTAGTAAAAATAATAAAAAATTAATAGTATAAAATTATACATAATGACAAATCCAACAATATATTATACTCTGTATAATAACGTTTAATGTTTATACATTTATTAAATTAGCGTGTTTTGTATGGCTGTCCACACCATATGACCATTTGTAAAACAACAAAGTAATCCTTATAATACAGATCGAATAACCCCTGTAATACTGACCGAGTAACCCCAATAACACTGACCGAGTAACACCAATAACGCTGACTGACAGTGTCGGATCCAGGACTTTATGGGTGTTGTGTCACCTTCATCCATCGACCGCATACCAATCAATAATTAACCCATGAATATTCAAAAAACTAATAATTCAATAACAAAAGCATAAAGAAACTAATAATTCAAAAAAAAAAAAGTCATTCTAAAAGTATACATATTACAACCAAATAGATAATTTTTTAAAAAATTCAATTGTTCTCTATGAGTTTTCATGTTTTAATATCGATCTATTATATCATTCTTGTCAACATTTAAAAACAAATCTCTCTTTATATAAGTAGTCAAGTCATCATTCAACATTTCATCTCTCGTGCTATTACGCAATAGAAGGTATTATGTGAAACCGGACTCATTATGAGTCTACTTGATAGTAACAACAATAGATATTAACATTGTAATATCTGACATTAATACTTTATTACTTTGATATTGATATATTAATACTTTAATATCTGACAATAATACTTTGATTTTTTCACTATATGCCACTGAGTAATTCGTTTATTCACCATGTACTCATGAAATTTTTTTAATTCACCTTATACTCTTGAGCTTAATAAAAATGTCACCAAAAATGCCCAAATGACTAACAGAGGTTAACTCCGTTAGTCATTAAGGCTAATTATTATTTAATTAATTATTAAAATATAAAATAAAAAATAAAAAAACACACCCAAGCCACCCTCACCTACCCCCCACCTTGCCCCAACCCCACCACCTCCCTGCCCGCGCCTAATTTCCCCCAAAACCCCTGCTCCGGCGGCACCTGACCCGACCCCTTGCCGTCACCCATCCCCTTCCCCTAAACTAACATTATCTCCCCACCTTAAAACCCCCTCCCTCCTTCGAATAACCTTCCTTATTCACTTGCCAGCGCCCAAACCCCCCTCCCCTGCGCCGATAAAACCCAATTTGCCCTCCCCCCTGTCATCTCCCCCCAAACCCCCCGAACCACCACCCCAGAACCTTAAAACCCCAAAATAAAAATCTAGTGTTTCGATTTTTGGGTCTAGGGTTTCAATTTTCCGGGTTAGGGTGGCCCGCCATGTTCCTCGTAGGGAAAGGGAGAGAGGCGTCCGGGTGGGGCAGGGTTTTTTTTCGGTGGGGGGCTAGGGCTGGTGGCTCTAGATTTTAAGGGTTTTGGGTGGAGGGAGGGGGAATTCAGGGTGGGCTATCGGTGGTTCAAAAAGGTAGGCACCATCGGCACGGGGCTGGGGGAGGGGTGTCGGCAGGGTGGAGGCAGGCTGGGCTGGGGCGGTGTGAGGGCGTGGAGGGGTGGCTGAGGTGGTGGTTTTTTTTCACTTTATTTATGATTCTTTTTTTTAAAAAAAATTGATTAATTTATTAGAGGTTGTCACGTGGCACATTTAACTTAAATGACTAACAGATATAACGAAATGGCATTTGGTGACATTTTCATTAAACTTATGAATATATGGTGAATTTGAAAATTTTGATGAATGTATGGTGAATTAAGTGATAAATCAGGGGTAGTTCGTAAGAAAACCGAAAATGATAACTTCTACTCAATTTGATGAACAAAACCATAATCCATGTTTTAATATATACTAAGTATATCATAATATTTGTAACAAAAATATGGTAATATAAACATTTAAAAAAAAAAACTTTTTTTTTCAAAACAACGTTATTTAAAAAAAAAAAAATCAAAGCCATCACCGCGGTTTTCTGTTTTTCAAAATTATACTCCCTCCGTCCCTTATCTACATGCCTATTTCCCATTTTCCACGGGAATTAAGGAACTTAAAGATTTCTTAAAACCCATCATTGGGAAGTACAAATGTGCATGTGGGATTAGAGAGAGTTATAAGGAAAAAAAAAGGTAGCTGGTAATTATTGAAGAGATAGAGAGAGAAAGTATTGAAAAATGATGCCAAAAGTACCAAAAAAAAAATAAAAATAAATTGATGACAACTCATAAAAAAGAGGGAATATTTTCAAAAAATACATTCTTTAAATAAAAATAGGCATGTAGTTTTGAAACCCCCAAAAAAGAAAGTAGGCATGTAGATAAGGGACGGAGAGAGTATGATATATGTCATATGATAAATTAAAGTTAGTCAAACTTATTAAAATCATGATATTTAAGAAAATTGACAACAGAAAAGTGGAAATACCTTTTTCTTGTTTCCTGTTTTTGGTTTTTGTTAAAAAAAAAAAATTGAAAATAAAAAATAATGTCAAACAATCTCGTACGAATTAAGCCTCTAAAGAAAGGTAGAACTACTCGTAATTATTGCTATTTATTAGTGTTTAATTAGGCAATTATTAATTGTCAATCATCAAAATGAAAAAAATATGATGTCGTATTTCTTT